TAAATATTCAAGGTGAGTGTGAATTTACTTAAAAATAATATCTTAATTAAGCAGTTAAAAATTTAAAATATCTAATTAAATTTTACAAAGGATATGAAAAATTAAAGTACTTTTCCGGTAATCGACCGTAATCTGAGTAACAGCAGAATTTGAACAGCTATGAATTTTTGATGCTTGATCCAATACAAATGAATTTTATATCGTTCAAAAGCCCTCGATAAGCTCTATATTTAACAAATGTATGGATCAGCTCTGATCACTCATAAAAGTTATAACCCTATAATAGTGAAAAACATCTACATATTTATTGCACTTATCGACTTGTAACATCTTTATGAGTGATCAGAACTGATCCATTAAGTTGGGTAAAAGATAGAGCTTATCGAGAGCTTACGAATGATATAAAATGCATCTATTTGGATCAAACATGATAATACTCAGTTTGCGTCGATTGACGAAAAAGTACCAAAATTAATTAACGAGTTAATTAATGTTAATCTAAATTAGTTTTACTTCATACTTTTTGCTTTCTTATAACAAGCGTAAAAATTAGTTTATGTTGAAGGTCGTACTTTACATGCGCAATACGAAAAGCACTTAGGATTGTTAAAATAACTAATTTTATTGCTTGTTTTAACGGGAGAGAAGGCATTAATTGATAATTTTTCGTTATGATTGTTAAGAGTCCATTAACAAATTAAGGGGAATTCGTTTATAACGCCGCGTAACCAATTAAGAAAAATGAACTTTTTATTTAAGAGATTTCGCGATAATTCTACTTTAAAATGCTTTTTAAAAAGTATGTAGTCTTTAATTATTATTTAATTAATTTCAACAAATACTTGTTAACGGATAATGGCTGTTAATAATTTTTACTTAAATATTTTAAACTAGGGTAGCAAGCCGACCCCCGAAACCCCGACCCCGAAGGATTTTTTTGTCAAAAACCCCGACCCGAACCCCGACATGCCTTCCCCGGCAAACCACGATCCTCGACACACCCGCCCCCGAAAGGTCGGGTTGCTACCCTATTTTAAACAAAGCTCCAAATGTGCGTATTTTTCCTCATTTTGTGGCTAAATTATTTCAACATCTTATATTAACTCAAAAAATAAAATAATAAATTTTTCTTTCAATTAAAATACACAATTTAGTATTTACGTAATTAATTTCCACAAAAAATAACAAAAAAAATATTAAGAAAAGTATACAAAGTAGGTATCAAAAATTAAAATTATGAAGGAAAAAATTGAAAAATTAGAGACAAGATTTGTTAAAATTGGCAATAAATTAGGTAAACTAAAATATAAGGCAAAATGTGTTTAGTTAATTTTGGCCCGCCCGATCCTCTCAATTACTTTATTTTTTTCATCTTCGCGTAATTGGTTGGCTGCCCAAATTTTTCTACATGTGTATACATTGAGGGCGGAGTCCATAAAAATCCAGCATCCAAAAACACTGAAATTAAATAATTTTATAATTCAAGTATAATAATGTTAAGAATCATAATCTTTCTTTTCTTAAATTAGAAAAATAAATAAAAGATTGAATTCAGATTTAAATATATTTTTTCACACAATGTATTAAAGCACGTTTTGGATTTATTCTTAGGCGCTTAAGCAATCCAATGGGTTAAATTAAATAAGCTACTATGCTATGTTTATCAGTGTTGCCGCGGGTACAAAAAATCTTCGGGTACGGGTATCGGGTTGGCAAAAATATCGGGTACGAGTTTCGGGTTGGAAAATTTTAAATTTGGGTATCGGGTTTCGGGTACAAAAAAATGCCGGTTTCGGGTTTCGGGCGGCAACCCTGGTGTTTATACACCCACATTTTTGTTTTCTTCTCATTGTACCTCATACAAAAATATCGCAATAAGTTCAAAGGCAAATAAAGTAGAATTAACGTACCTTGATAGCTCTAATTCAATGGCCGGCAACTTTATTTTTCAGGCATCTTTCAAAGGGACATTCTATTAGAGAGGCAAATTGAGGTGTCAATTTATATTTTATTCATACTCAAAGGTGTCATTATATTGAAGTGGCCATTCAAATTAAGAGGGCCATTCTATTAAAGATACCAAGGTACTTTAATTCAATTTTATTTTGAACGTTTGAAATATTTTTTAAGAGGAGTAAACAAGGACAAAGAAACGAAAATGTGGGTGTATAAAAGCATTGTAACTTAACTAATAAGAAAAAGTTCCAAATTAATTGGCACTTTTTACCATTTCTTATAGGGAATCATAACTTTAAATGTGTGAAAAATTGACAAGGATAGGATTAGATTAAAATAGAATTAAGAATAAAATGACAGGAAACGGTGAAAAATTTTCCAAAATTAAATAGGACAGGACCAAGCAACAGGATTATTTTTTAAGCATGCCAATTTTTAGTGAAGGGAAAAGTCAAGCAATAAATAAATGACATCCATATATTAAATCTTATTTAGGCGCGACTCAATTTCTGACATTTTATTCTTACACATTTTTATTCAAAAGGACGGAAATAACTTTTGGTAACTAATTTTAATTCACTCTCATAACCAGACATAGTCACGGATACTGATTTTGATATCGTTTTCCGGATATTTACGGCGGATACAGGCGGATATCCGCAGGCATTTTGGTATTATCTGTATCCATATCCTTATCCATGACCATGTCTATTCATAACTACATAAATCTATTTTTTAGAAAGGCTAGAAAAATAAGTTTTATCCATTCGATTATTAATAAAAGTGAATTATGTATAATTTTGGGGAAAATAAGACAAAAACAAATTTTATTCGTGTATATTTAATAAAAAATGAATTTTTAAGTTTTTAAATTACTTTATACAAATTTAATTTCAAAAAACTTATAAATATTTTTAGTAATGAAATTTGAAACCTTTGCTAAGAGACGCAAAAATCTGCATAATTGCAGATTCCCGAGAGTGCCGATCATCCGGATGTTCATTAATTTAAAAGCGTCTAAAGGATTTTAATAAATGGAAGGATTAAAAAAGGGGTGTTCGCTAGTGTATATAACCTTCAAAATTGGGAGGCCAACTGCGCTATTTTTTAAGAACAAAAAGTTCAAAAAATATAAACTATTGTAAATACATAAAGGCTAAAATAGGAAAAATAATTTTTAAAAATGAACAAATACCGGGTGTATAATTAAGAAAAAGAAAAGGATTTAATAGGCTTGAGAAAAGACATGGGCAGAAATTTTTCAAAGACTTTTGGAAACAATTTTACCGTAACTTAGCGTTAGTAAACGAAATACCAAAATTAGAGAAAATTCGAAGATAGAATACCGTTGAAATCTTTGATGGATATAATGTAAGTTTGTATTTTGGAGCTGAAAATGTCAAGTAATCAATAGGGAGTCAATTATATGGAAATCCATATTTTTTCCTGAATTCCCATAACTATGAAAGGTACGAAAAACATGTTTTTGACATGTTTTAGCCTTTATATCCTTATATATTTAGCCTTTATATCCATATTTTATATCAATATTTCTCCCTTTTTTAATAATTTTACTCATATTTGGGCATTCTTTGTTAAATTTTAGTAAAAATTGGCAAAATTTTTCAAAATTTTGTAATTTTTGATAAGAAAAATTTTTTGAAAATTTTTCGGAAATTTACTTTTAAAAAATTTAACAGAATTTAAATCCACAAAATCTTTTAAAATACTCTTAAAATGCAAAGTTAAAGGCAAAATTATTGTTTTCTACATAAAATACTGATTTTTAAACTATCTTTTCGCTAAAGTTCGATCCATATTTAAAGATTTTATATCCATATAATTGACACCCCTAGTAATCACTATTATTTTTTTTTAAAATTTTAGTCAAAACATATGTTTAAAAGCTCTAAAAGTAATTAAATATTGCTAGTTTATTTTTTAATTTTATCAAACAAAGGATAAAAAGGAATTATTCTTTATTTATTTAATAATAAATAATTAATCTTGTAAAAATTTTAGGAACAAAGGAAAACGATTATTAATGTAGCCGCCAAAACTATGCTTAAAACAAAAGGGAAGTATACAACCGATTAAAAATTATAGAAGTTTTATCCTGAAAATTAAATTAATGAAAAAAAAATTCGTGTTAAAAATTGATTATATTTTACTTATATCAAATATTCATTATTCTAGCTTTTATTGGTCATCTTAGGAATACATCTTAGGAATGAGTTATTTGCAACTCCCTAGTTATGAATTTAAAATTAAATTATTATGTATGTCCACCTTTATTAAATTATAGTTAAAATAAACTGTTTTTGATCGACCAAGAATTATTCCTATAATTATTTTTAAATCTATAATCCTGGTTAAGACAGTCCCAAAGTCAACATTATTTTGAAATTAAATATAAAAATAAGAGAGATTAATTTTTATTTTAAAAACTGAGTTATACAAATTAATTTAAAAAAAAGCAGTTAAAATATAACCCTGAGTAAAATATAAAAAATAAAACAAAAGAATCTTTAATTTCTGTTTTTAGAAGAATTTTACAACTTTTTTGTTATATTAAATAAATTGTAAAAAAGATTCTTGTTTTATTTTAAGTATAAATTATATTTAAGGCTTTTATTTAGATTGGGTTGGAAAGATGCAAGTTTCGTGAATTTTAATTTTTAGATAAAGAATTTTTAGGAAATTTAATTCATTTATTTTAGAAAAATTCTGAAAATATTTTTTTAATTTTTGAAAAAAGGCAAAAAATTCACAGTTTTCCAACCCTTGAAGAGATTACAGATTATTTTTTTAAATTACATTATTTTATAAAAGACATGTTTTTTAGGAAAAACATAAATAAATTAGTAAAGCAAATTTTTTATGAGCATACAAAGTAATAAAATTAGTTAAGTATGGATCTATATTTTTTAAAACTTTAGTTAATTTTAGATATTCGCAAGCGAAAAAGAAATGCTAGTTTTTAAGTAGTTTTTGAGGTTATAAAAAATATAGATCCAAATTTAATGTTAATCACTTCAACAACATCATCGCTTAAATATAGAAAAATATAAAGCCACGACTGTCAAAAAACCAAAGAACCACTAAAAAATTTTTGTATAACCAAAAGAATAAAAAAATTATAAAATTTTAAATGAAAAATTTTCTTTAAAAGACTCAAGCAAAAAACAAAGAAAGATAAGACTTGTTAAAAATATTTTTTAACAATAAAATTTTGAAAAAGAAAATTTAGGACAGATTCAACCCTTTGTTTTAAAAAAGGGAAAAAATGGAAATTCGAAAAGAATCGTGTTTTTTTAATAAATTTTAGCCCAAAAATTAATTTATTTTGATCTGGTCCTTTTATTTATGGACAATTTATAAATCTTATCAATGAAGCTAAAAAGCTACAAAAAAATTTTAGAAAGCAGAAAATTGTTCAAAAATAACCAAAATTTTAAGAACCTTATAACAACTTTTTCTCTGAATATTCCTGCACATTATATAATGCAGAGATATTTTTAAATTTTTTGGAATAATTAACAAATTTATTCCAAGTTACCTGCCAAAGCAAACTGATCTTGTTATTTGATATACTGTCGAGTCGTGAATTCATTTGAGCAAATAAATCAAGCATCTCCTTTCGTGTAGCCAATTCACTCACTTTCGTCTTTAAAACCTCGACATCTATAAAATAAAAAATTAAAAACAAGATATTTAAATATCTGATAATTAAAAAATCTTCCTCAAAAATCCTCCTCAAAATACTAAGAGAGAATACTAGGTACATTAACAATTGAAAGCCATCATTGGTTAAAAACGAATTCTAGACCAATTTACCAAGTTATTTATTTTGCGAGATAATTGACAAACAAATGCATAAGTCAAATCCTCCCCAAAGAAATCCTCTCAAGATAGAACCACATAAAAGATTTCCCCCCATCCTAAGGTCCGAGGATAAATACCCCCATTCCAAACCTAAGAATCAATAATCTAAACCTTTTCTCAACTGAACAACTTCTGGGTCGGGCACTTCCGTTTTGAAAACAGCAATGAATGCTTTAAAGAAAAAATAGAATTTTAGACTTAAAAATTAAAATAATACTTTTATTTGCCCAACCAGTTGACGGTTCAAAAAAAAGACTTCTTTCTGGATTCATTCTAAAAATTAAAAAGATATAAGTATCTAGAATTATTTTCTGGTAGGGAATGTTAAAGTCAAAGCTTTGTCCGAAATTTTTGTTTTTGCAGACATTTTTTGCGGACAAATTAATGTAAAAAAGTTATGGATATAAACTGAATTTCTTTCAATTCTAGGCCTTAACTAAGGGAAATTGGGAAATAGTTGTATTCTCAATTGTTTGCCAACAATAATGTGAACAAGAGCATGAATTCCCGGTAATCTTCTAAATAGTTTACTGTTCCCCAGAAAAAATGATCCGAGTTCGTTGAAGCCAATTCGGGTTAAAATTTATGGGATAATCCTATGAGGTCAAGGTTGATCGAAGTCAAGTTCGGGTTAGAATTAACAAATTCTAAGCTTTGGACCTGCACATCGATTACCTATTAGAAAGCCTCGACAATATCGTAAGATCATGCCTTGCTCGTTTTTTCCAGGGACCAATAAACAAGAAAAATACCGAATTTCCGACAATTGGCTGGTAAGGGAAAAGCAGTAAGTGACACCGATTTTTAGAGTCAAACTAGGCCTAGCAAGAATGAAAAGTCACAAAACCCAAAAAAAAATTTTAAAAATATACCGAAGCTGTTGATACCCTCCAGACCAGGGTTGCCGCGGGTACAAAAAATTTTCGGGTACGGGTTTCGGGTATCGGGTTGGAGCGTTTTCATTTCGGGTCACGGGTTTCGGGTTGGCAAAAATATCGGGTACGGGTTTCGGGTTTCGGGTTATAAAATTTTCATTTCGGGTATCGGGTTTCGGGTTGGCAAAAATTTCGGGTACGGGTTTCGGGTTTGGCGAAAAATTCGGGTTATTTTCGGGTGTTCGGCTATTGGTGAACTAAATTGTAAGGAGGCAAGCTATATTGCATAATAGGATTTTGGGTGATATAGAGAGAAGCAAATTTGAAGAGATTAAAACATTGTGGGATTTGGGGATTAAGAGGGATATCTTGGTAAAATCCCACCTTGATAAAATCCCACTATGTGCTAATATCCCTCCGCCTTATCTCTATAAAAGCCTCCAAATTTCTCCCGTTTTTAGCGCCGCAGGCGAAAATTTTGAGAATTTTGATGATCACTAAGCTAGATTAGCTTTTTCACCGCCGGAGGCGAAAATTTTGAGAATTTTTTAAGGTCTTAGGTGAAAGAATTCAATTGTCAGAACCGCAGGCAAAAATTTTTATTTAAGTTTAATTGATCATGAACCTAGAACTCTTAATTTTATGCGCCGCAGGCGAAAATTTTGCAAAATTCATGACTAAATTAAAATTTTTAATTCACTTTCAAGCTTAAAATATTAAAAAAATAAATTTAAAAATCTAAAATGAAAATCAAAGTTTAAAGGCATTTATTTTTGAAAAGAAAAATTTTTTAGGCCTTATTTCCAGCCCTGGACTCGAACCCACCCCCAAAAATATCGAGCCAGTCGCCTTACACACTCAACCACCGATCAACATAAGGAAAAATTAAAGAAATTATAAATATTTCTTTCCCTTTTCCTTCTTTCTCTTTCTATAAATTTATTTTAAAAAATCGGGTAAGGCTAAGTTTTCGGGTATAAATTTCGGGTTTTAACCAATTTCGGGTCACGGGTTTCGGGTTGGAAAAAATATCGGGTACGGGTTTCGGGTTGGAAAATTTTCAATTCGGGTATCGGGTTTCGGGTACAAAAAAAGGCCGGGTTTCGGGTATCGGGTTTCGGGCGGCAACCCTGCTCCAGACGAATGTTTAAATTCGAGACTAACAATGCCGGGGAAAGCAACAGCAACTGTATCCAAAGCCAAAGAACGATCATCCTCCGTTGGTATCAGTTTCACGTCACCACCAACAATTTTAGATATAGAAACGAGAATTTCCTGGAATTTATTCAAATTATCAAAAACACAAAGAAAAAACCTGAGGAATTGGAGTGGTGTTGTCAGTAGAAATTATTTGACCTTCAATAACCGAGGTATTATTACGAAGCATTTCGTTCTGGATAACCAAATTGTCTTCTTCAGTTTTGTTCCAAGAAACTAAGCTGGCTGGCATTTTTGTTTGAAGTGATTTAGTTTTGTAAGTAATTAAGTAATTGTTCTGAAATTTAAAAAATAAAAAAATTAATACAAAAAATGTTACAAGTCAAAAACTAAAATAAAAACATATGCGTATGTTCATCAACAAAAAATCGATTTCACAGGCACGCCCTAGAAAGGTTTAGTGACATTTGCGCAGAGCGACATTTGCGCAGCACCAATTGCACAGTTATCATTAAAAACAAGACAACTGCAATCGGACCTCACTATAGTTTCTTAAGGGGTGGGTTCGTGAACTTAAAAGAGGTCCGGGAACTAAAAAAAGGTGACCATCAACAGAAAAATAAATGAAAAATCAATTTTTTGAGAACACAGCTAGCCAGCTACTTTTAGCCGTTTCAGTACTGATAAATTAAAAAATGAATGTTTTATCGTCTTTCTCTTTTCCTCTGCTTTATGGCTCCCCGACTTTTCGTCAACGGACTTTCCGTCGATGGACTTTCCGTCAATACTTTTCGTCAATGGACGGACTTTTCATCAACGCTTTTAAAAAATTTAGGAAATTAATCGGTCTGTTCAAAGCCACAAATAACTAAATGTGCCCAATTTTGTATTTTCTTATTTCTTCAAATACTCTCGAATAACCATGTATATGTTTTGATGGAGGACATGCAAAGACACATGGCAAAGCAAAAGAAGTTACCATATTATGCACATTAGATAAAAAAACAAACAACGTAAACCCATGGGGCATCGGCAAGACGTTTTGCGACACGCGCCTCGCAGGGAGTCAACGGTCGTTGGGTTCTGGGCTGTAACATAAACCTATTCCTTTTTACCGATTTTCAGCCTTGAAAAGCCTACCCATCGTTCGTAGCAACATAAAAATAAGTTTGCCCAACGAAAATTCAGTTGCACAATTTGTGTCCAGAATTTTCAAATCCGTCTAATTTTCAATCTGACACGATTTAACCAAAAATTTTACACTTTTATATACATGTATAATCTTCTCTTTCTCTTAAAATTAAAAAAACATCCATTCATTGGTAATCTTGTGCTTTACTGGTCCCTAGAAAAATCTAAGGAAAAGTGTTAGTTCGACATTTTTGAGGTATGCCAGTAGGTAATCGATCTTGCTTAGTCCGAATCTGAGCTTAGAATTTGTTTATTTCGAACCCCGGACCCGAATTCGACCATGTCAAACATGGGGTAAAAATTCGAAATTTCAAATTTTATGTTTAATCTGACTAGTCCCTTCGAGCTGAGTTGATTGGTATCAGAATTATTACGTTTCGACATCTTTAGACTAAGTTATGGTGTCTGATTAGTATACTGAGGTCTAACCAAGCGTGTATTTAATTGATCATAACTTAGGCTAAAGTGTTTGACATGGTCGAATTCAGGTCCAGGATTCGAAATAAACAAATTCTAAGCCCATATTCGGACTCAGCAGACTCGATTACATACTGGCAGACCTCAAAAATATCGAAAAAGTACTTCTACCACATTTTTTTCTAGGGACCAGTAAAGCGCAAGATTACCCATTCATTGACGAAAAGTCCGTTGACGGAAAGTCCATTGAACTTTTTCAAAATCCGAGCTCATATTCGTAATCAGCACATTTTTTTACCCTAGAAAAATCCATTTTCTGATTTTTAAAAATTTTTTTCGAAGAAACCCCAATTCTCCTGGATTGCCGAAATTTTATTTTCCTTGAATTAATCCAGTGTCCTTAAACACGTTTAAAAATGTGCCTTTGTTTTAATTTAAATTTTAAACAATTTTGGCGTTATGTTTTTTTGGCATATCGATTTTTCAAAATTGACAAAACAAATATTTTTGTCTTTTTCCATTTACATATTTTTTAATTTTTATTTTCGGTTTTTCTTTTAAAAAATATTTTTTCCCTTGCATATTAATAAATGTGCCTTTTAATCTTCTTTTTTGTCTATTAAATAAACTTTTGTTTAGGTCAACACGTTTTATTTTTTAAAGGAGACTTTCTCTTCCCTTTCTTCTTTTCTAAATCATTCACTTAAAAATTCACCGCTTTTTATACACTTTCTCTTTTTTAAAAAAAAATGTTGCGTATTTTGCCTAGTGAAATTTTGCAACAAAAATGGATTGCCTTCTAGTTCATAATTATTTATTAATTTCACTTTTTTGAGTTTTCTCAGGAAATTTTTTTCAAAAAATTTTCTCAAAAATCTTTTTAACCATACCAAAAAATTATTTTTATTTTTCAAAATTTTAAGGTTTTTAAATTTAAAAAATATTATTAAAAATAATGAATATTGATGGTGAAGGAATGCTTCTCTCTAATATTGCAATTTGTGTTGGTATTTCAAAAGATGGACGTTTTAAAGTAGCTCATCTGGTTTTGTTAGGTAGGGTTGCGCCTGAACGCTCGGGGAGGATCCCACATAACTGTTGACCTAACCGGGCTTTAATTAAAAAGGGGATCTTTTATAATACTGGAGCTTCCGGAGAATTTACGTCAATACCCTAGATGTAATTTTTTAAATTCTAGAACGACCACAGTGCATTCATACTTGTCCGTGGAACTTAGACGAACATTTTGAGACTGGCCGTTGGTGAGTAAAATAAACTTTCAAAACATGAGAATGTTTGTCAATGTTTAAATAAACTTTAACCGCAAACAAAACAAACAATGTTTTAATTGGTTTAAACAATTGTAAATAGACTGCTAAAACAAACATCTAAATAAACATGTTTTTAAACATTGACAAACACGTGAATTTAAAACATGTTTAATTCGATTAAAACATGAAGACAACAAAAACATGTTTTTAATAAACATGTTTTTAAACATTGACAAACATGTGAATTTTTAAACATGTTTTTGAACTTGTTTAAGTGAACTTGAATGTAAACATTAAAACAAAACATTCAAGTTGTATTATACTAAATAACCCTAATCGTTGAAACAAACATCTAAATAAACTTTAGTCTAAACAAAACATTTAAATAAACTTGAACAGAAAAACAAAGTTTAACTTTTAGGTATCGCCAAGTTCGTGTTAAGGATGAACATTCAGCAATAACTAAAACTTATTGGAAATTAATAGATGATGAATTTATTCCAACAATTTTAATTCGAGCTGGGGAAAGATTTACTTTGATTGAGGTGAATTTAAGGGATTTTGTTCACCCTTTAATTCTTTATTTTTTTAGGTATCATTGCCTATATTTTTTGCGCCAGACTTGTCGTTATTCTCATCGTTACAACATAAAAATTCTAAAGTTGCGTTAAAACCAATTTGTCCTTTGTTTGGACAAGAGAGTGTTCAGGTGGATATTTTGAAAAAAATTTTATTTTCTTAAAAAATTTTTAAAATTTTTTTCTTAGATTTTGGATTTGCCAGTTGACGGATTTTCTGAAAGAAACGGGCATGCGCCTGTACCCGGAATTTTGTATTGTGTTCGAGTTCAAATGTGAGACATTTATTTAGAAGCTCATTTCATTAATTATTTTTTAGTTCATTTACTCCCGGACTTATCCCGATATGGACATATAATGAAAATTATGTTGGGACACTTGATTCTTTCCATTGGACTTCAGCATTTATGGCGGAGGTAAATAAATCTAATGTTTTAACGAACATTAGCTTAAACTTGAAAAATAAAATAAATTCTAGCTTGAACTTGAGACTTAAAGTAAGAATACAAGTTCAATAAGTTTTATTTTTAGATTAAGCTTACAATAAGTTTTAAGCATGAACTTGCGAATACGATAGGTTTTACGTGCTTCAGAGTGTTGTTTAGAAAAAAGTTTTAAGCTTGCGCTTAAGAAACATTAAGTTTTATTTTTTTAAGATCAAGCTTGAAAATAAAAGTTTTAAGTTTGTGCTTTATTTTTTCTCCCTTTCAAGTTTAAAAAAAGTTTTAAGCTTGAGCTTAAGAAATATCAAGTTTTATTTTTCTAAGATCAAGCTTAGAAAATAAAATGTTTTAAGCTTGAGCTTAAAAATAAATAAACTTAAGTCTATGCTTAAAATAAACGGAAAAATTCCGTCATATCTCCCAGAAACCAATTCGGACAAACGATATGTCATTCGAAAGAGCTCGCCGAGCTGAGTCGAACGACACCAAAATTAGCTTCGGGACTCATATGGACCAAGTTATAGGTCCTTGAAACTCCGCTCCGCGCGTTTCAAGGACCTATAACTTTTGAAACTCCGCGCTTCGCGCGGAGTTTTGCGGCACGCGCCTCGCGGGGAGTCAACGGGCGATGGGTCTGGGCTCGTAACATAAACTTATGCCTATTTTAGCTGCGGTCGGCATGTCTGGCTTCCTCCCCAGAAACAAAAACCTGCACGTAGACCAAAGGTAAGGAGCTAAAACTAATACTCATAACTTTGTCAAGTCAAGTCGGATTTCGCTGATTTTGGTGTCATTCGACTCAGCTCGACGAGCTCTTTCGAATGAGGTATAATTTGCATATTCGAATTTTTTACCCCAAAAAAGTGCTTGGTCCCCCCTTTGGTTTTTCGATTTTCGGGGACCTATATCTCAGCCCACAGGTGAGTCCCGAAGCTAATTTTGGTGTCGTTCGACTCAGCTCGATGAGCTCTTTCGAATGACATATCGTTTGTCCGGATCTGTTTCTGGGAGATATGACGGAATTTTACCAAATAAACATTCTTTTTGTTTTCAGAATTCTATCAGTACAGACATTTTCAAATCTTATCGGGTAGACGGACTTGTTATAGAGAAAATTGTTCGAATGACAAGACAAAGAAAGATTTTGAATTATTACCTTATACTTCAAGAAAATGCTAAAGAGTTTCCTCCACGTTTGGCAATTGCTGTAGGACATGAGGCAGATAAATATGGAGGGGGGAAGTCTTTGGATGTTGGGGATTGGATTAGTTTTTTGCCTATGTGAGTGTTTTAGATTTTTAATTTAAAAAATTCTTTTTTAGAATGCTTGATTGTTATACCTATCCAGTTCTGTTTGCCTTACATTGCCCATCTTCCAATACAATTTCTAACAAAAAATTGAAATTGTTCAAGGAACCGGAGGGAGACGTGAGTATTCTCATATCGGAGGAGTTCAACTGGGTTCCTCAACTGAGTTCCGGCCCTATAACTCAAGTACGGGTTGATAATTTTCAATGTTTTTGGTACCATTAGATATAACAGATGGACTACAATATACCAAAATATCAAAATTTTCGGTTGTTTGGTAAAAAAGTTATGATTTGTAAACTAGCTTTTTCACAAAAAATCTGATTTTTCGGCACGTTATCGAGCATAACTTTTCTACCAACCGGACAACAATTTTGATTTTTTGGTATATTGTAGCCTATTTAATGCCCTATCCATTGGTACCAAAAGCAAAAAAAAGTGACCATCCCTTCATAAGTTATAGGGTCCGGGACTCAGTTGATTCAGGACCCAATTGAGGTGTACCGTTGTCAAATTGCTTAAAAAAATATTTTTTCTCAATTTTTAACAGTATAAATTGACCTTAAAAATTACCGAGGAATATTTAGCCTATATTCATGCAGCAGACAACACTAACAACAATAATTGCCGTTTGCCTGTGCTTGGGTTGCTCGTTGACCCTTTCAATTGTTCAAAAAACTTGTTGAATAAAGTAGTTTTTATGAGATGGGAAAATTTTTTTAAAAATTTTTCTTTTAGCTGGGGCATCTAGTCACGATAGAAATACGCCCTCAATGGCATATGGAAAAAGGAGTGGTTATCTGGACGGCTTTGAATAGTTGTGAAAATTCAAAAGTGCCGATTTTGGAAACGAAAAAATGTTTTAGAGATACTGCGTCAGTTGATAAGTTTGTATATTTAATTAGATTGCAAATTTAAAAAAAAATGCAAGTTAGTAGGGGAGGGAGCAACAATTGTCGTCCAGAGCCGCGTTGTTGTCTTTAGAGATGGGAAGTCTTAAACCATTGCCTGTTGGTGATCCAAGAAATCATGGGTTTTGGCATTGTGGTGACGCTGATGCTTATTTTCGGGTCTCTTTCCCACTTCCAGTCCCTTTCCCCAATGTTAAAGGCAACAGTACGTCTCGGTGTCAATAGTTGTTGTTAATGTTATTTTATTTTAGTGATTTAATAAATTTAAATTTTTTCAAGTTTTGCAATTAATAACAACGACAACTTTACCAACAATTTCTCACCTTTAACCGGGCCCAATAAATTATCGCTAGGATCAAAAAGGATTTTAGCAGCCTATTTTACTTACAAATGTTCAACTAATTGTTTTGTATTTTTTGAATTCTGCGAGATAACGAATACTTTTAGTAGTAGACATGATATTCCTTTACAGCCTAAGTAAACAAAATTTATTATATTATGTAAAAAAAAATTTTTTTTTATTTTTAGAGCAACTAGAAATATTACAATTGGTGATTGGTATTATATTGACTTTGAATGTATTTCAAATAAATCAGAACCAGTTAATGTCACCTCAATTAGGCCAACATCGCCGCGTATAGAAACGCGTGTTAGGCATAATATTTGTGCTCAAGTAAAAAAATTTTTTCTAAAAATTTTTGGTGACCGTTTAATTTTCGCCTGTGAAAATTTCCTCATTTGATCTTTAAAATTCCTCATTTGTGCCACCACAGACGAAAATTAACCGGTGAATTTTGCGTGATGGACCAAATACCTGGGTTTTCTTGTACCCAGGATCCAGGCCCAGGCATCTTTTGACCTTTCTGGGTTTTTCCTGGGCCTGGGTACTGGATACAGGCCCAGGATCCGGCCCAAGTCAGTAAATCAAACCTGGAACCCAGGAACAGGCCCAGGCTTTTCAAAAATCTCGATCTCTAGTTCACATTTAAACTTTAAAATTTCTGCTTGTTCTTTAATTTTTCATTCTCATTTAAAAAATTTTTAGTTTTGCGGAGGAGGGTTTGCAATAGTTAAATGTTGGCATTGTTCTGATCAATTTTGTGCTGGCAGTCAATTCTATTCGGATCCCGACAAAATTTGGTGGCCTGATCTTTGTGTCAAATGTTTTCCAAAGGAGGGAACAACAAATACTTCCCCATTAAATGAAGTAATTAAAATAACAACAAAACGTTCCTCCTTCCCACATCCTTCTAATAATAATAATAATTTTTCCAAGTCTGATACAAACTTGAAAAATTATTCACCAAAATCATCATTGTATCTCTCAGGAGATATGGTGAATTATATGAACAATTAAATAGGGCAACAAGTTTTAAGCTTAAACTAGAATTTAAAGCTTGAACTTAAAAATAACTTTTATAAACAAGTTTCTAAATCAAACAAGTTTTAAGCTTGAACTAGAAATTTAAGTTTTAACTTTAAAAAATTAGTGTAAACAAGTTTTAAGTTTAATCAAGTTTTAAGCTTGATCTTGAAAATAACTAGTATAAACGAGTTTTTAAATAAAACAAGATATAAACTTTAACTAGAAATTTAAGCTTGAACTTAAAAAACTAGTTTAAACAAGTTTCAAGTTTAAACAAGTTTAAAGCTTTAACTTAAAATTTAAGCTTGAAATTTAAGCTTGAACTTTAAAAAACTAGTATAAACAAGTTTTAAGTTTCAACAAGATTCAAGCTTGAACTTGAAAACAATGTTATAATTCTATTTAACTTTCAAGATTAGTCTTAACTTTTTTCCTTTTCTAATAATTTCAAATTTAGGGCAATACACACTTCCGTCCATATTCTCACTTAAGCAGCTCTTCATCACACAAAAGCAATTGTGGTAGTTCAACAATTTCATCCTTCTCAACAACACATTCTAAAAATACAAATATTAATTTTAATAAATCAAATGAATCAATTGTTAAAAATAGAAGATTTTCAATTAGAGAGCAGGAACGAAGAGAAAAATTGGAACAACGCGAAAGGCTTGATAAACTTGCAGAATTGCTAGAAAATAGAGAGAAAGCTAGTTATGAGGAATTTAAGGCATTAAGAAGTACAAAACCTCCAAAATGCAGTAGTAGCCGTAGCAGTATTTTTTCTAATGGATACCGTCAATCTCAACAAGAGAAGCAACATAATAAAAACTTTAATATTCAAACTAGTAGCCGAACAACATACACAGGTAATAATACAACTACTTATGGACAATTTATTCATCAACAAAACATTCCTCAAGAAAAACAACAAAACATTCATCAAAACATTTATTTAGATACACGACATAATAAACAAAACATTAACAAAAACATAGAAGATAATGTTTGTCAAAATGTTCGTCACAACATTCAACAAAACATTCAACAAAACACACGTCAAAACATTCACCAAAACATTACAAACAATGAACAAGAATATTTCCATCAAAACATTAAACTAAACAAACAACAACACATTAATAAAAACAAAGAAGAAAATGTTTTTAAAAACAAGCAACAAAATAAACAACCTAAACCAGTTAATAAATGTTTTAGTGTTCAAAAGAAATATATAGAAAATTCAACAACAACAAGTAGTAGTACTTTAAAAATAAATAATGTTGAAGTTGACGAACAAAACAACAACAATGATGTTTATTCAAGCAATAATAGTTTGTTGAATGAAACATTAGAAATTAGAACGAGTGAAAGTTCGGATGATAATAATGAACAACATAAGCAAAAACAACAACCATTTTTTGGTGATAATTTTAATCATCAAAAAGCAGAAATTGAGATATTAGATGAAAATTTAAGTGGGCCAAAAAAATTAAAAAATAATAATGAATTGGAAAAACTTTTTTTTGGTTGAGGGGTCTAATTTTAGCATATTTGGGGGTGGTTCAGGGTCTTTTATTTTTAACCGGGCGTTTCCTAGTCTTTTAAAACAGTTAAAGGGGGGTAGGTTTTAGGTAATTATTTAAATATTTTTGAATCATACGCATTTTTAAAAATATTGATAAGATCCTGAGCTATCCTCTAATTTAAGTAAAAATAAAAATTAATTATAAAAATTTGTTAAAATTCCGTCATATCACCCGGAAACCGATTCGGAAAAAATATGCCCTAAGGTTTTTCGATTTTCGGGGACTTATATCTCGGTTCATTTGTGAGTTCCGAAACTAATTTTGTTGTTGTTCGATTCATTTCGGTGAGCTCTTTCGAATGTCATATATTTTGTCCGAATCGGTTTCCGGCAGATATGACGGAATTTTACCTAAATTTTAATTGAAAATTTCTTTCTCTAATAAAAATAATTTCTTTTCTTTTTAAAAAAAGTTGCTGAAGAATTTTCTTCTTTAAAAGTTTCTGATACCCAAAATTCACCAAAACAACAAGTTATAGATGAAGGAGAGCCTGGAGGTTTTGGTTATAGTAGACGTCGTCGTTTTGCTTTTGAATTAAAAACAAATTTGGAACAACAACAAAAAATAAAAGAAGGCAATCCTTTCCAAAAATTTCAATTTTCTTCTAATAAAAATGTTGGGAAAGAAAATTTGCAAAAAATAAGAGGAAATAAAATTGAGGGGGAAAATAATGAAGATGATTATGTTATTGACGAGGCTTTAAATGCTGCATTGTCGGATGAGGAGAGAAATGAAGGAGGGGAAGAAGATAAATATAATGAGGAAGATGTATTTGAATATGATGAAGAGGGGGTAGAAGAAGTAGAAGAGGAGGAGGAAGAAGAAGAGTATGCTGATTATTCGAGTAATGTGTCGGGGTGAGGATTTCTATTCTAAATAAATGTGAGGAAGAAAGGGGATCCAGCTGGTTAGCATTCAAGTAAGCTGGAAAGAATTCGGGGGCATAGGACAGGGTGGCCCTTTAACCACCTTTACGTGGCATTTTCCCCCTTTTTTGACTTTTTCGCCCCCCTTTTCTCCTCTTTTCTACGTGCCACCCTTTTGCCCTCTTTGATCTTTTCTGAAAAAGGAAGAAATCTGTCTTCTGCCACCTTTTGGTGGTTTGGAAAGGGTCGCCCTGGCTTAGGATCTATTAAAAAAGTAGGCAAATCGGTAGAGTACATAAGCTATTGTGGTCGAAAGGCCTAGCGGCAACTGCCAGGATTACGCATGATCGAAGCCTGCCCAAGGCTAAGCTTTCACCTCTCCTTACTTAATTCATTAATTATTTAGCAAATTTTCGTTTAGAGACCGGACTTTAGGATTGATTTTCTCAATAATCGAGAATTTTAAATGCATCTAGGTCTTCCAATTTTTTAACTAAAATTTTCGAATTTGTTAATTATTAGTAATTTAAGATCGCGATTCAATATCAAACCCAGCCTTTTTTCAAGTAAACAAAAGTTTTTTGGTTAGATGAGGAACGATAATAATATTGGATTATATTTAAAAATAATAAAAAAATATTTTAGAATTGTATTTGAATATTTCAGATTTTCAGTTTATTTATACGATTATTTTAATTTCATAAATTTTGGGATTATCCATTTATAGTATTTATAAGCCTGTATTTGGCCAGAGCTGTTTCGAAATTTCTAATTTCTTTTTCTTCTCATATTTGACTTTGAAAAGTTTTTAATTGTGTCTTTTGTCTATTTTTTGATTGTATTTTTTTGTTTCAAAACAGCTCTGATCAGTGTTATCCACAATCGAAGGGGGACTGTCCTAAATTTGTTGACAGACATGGTTTTTATCAAATTAAATTATTATACAGTTTTTTACTTTATTTTTTTCTTCTGATAAATTAAAGATAAACGACTGACTTTTTTGCTTTTTTAACCGTTATAATAAGGAATTGTTCTATAACTCTCAAAGGGAACAATGCTTTATTTTGTGGGAAGTAAAAACTTTGAATTAGCGTCTTTTTACATCAAAAAAAGATTTTTCAATGAAATTTTTGTCTTAAAAATTTTTTCTTCAAAATGCGTTTGTTGGATATATTCTTGTATTATAGCCAGTTGTTGTTCGTGGGTTTTGGACATTTATTTGATTTTCTGAAGAGTTTTTGGGTGTTAACTTGTATCTTACACGCCCCTGAAATTATAAACTTTTTTTAATTTTTGAGATTTATTTAGGTATTTAATTTACAAATAAATTTGAGTGAAGATAATAATAGTCGAACATAAAATACCCTAAGAATTAGATAACTTCAGTTTAGAATTGGGTTCAATTTTATGGGGCAAGGAAATATTTTAAGGGGAACGGGGTGTCTAGGGGGAAGACCTCCCCTTGTTCCCCGGGGAATTCCCTTCTCTGGGAAACGGGGTTTGAATCCTAGTTTAGAATTTCAAACTTTATAATTAATTACTTGGTGTAGATTAGCAAGTGATTGTGTTGTTACTGTAATATCAGTTCCAATAAATCTGCGAAGGGTATGTCGATAAGTCAAAACGTAAATTAGAGCATCGAAACAGTTGAGGAAATGATTTATGGGACCGATAGTTGAGGCAATTTGATGTTCAATTATCTAATACATAAGAAATAATATTTATTTTCATGTTTTAAGAATTTTTTATATTTTGAGCATGACTTAAGTTTTCCCAATAATAATTTGTACTCAAGTTTTGTGCGTACTTTTAATATTATAGTTTTCAAGTTTTAAGCATGACTTAAGTTTTATTCATTAAATGATTTCAAGTCCAAACTTAAGTTTTTTTCAAGTTTTAAACACCACTTAAGTTTTATTTATTTTATAATAATTAGCTTTTTTTCAAGTTTTAAGCATGACTTAAGTTTTGTTCATTAAATGATTTCAAGTCCAAACTTAAGTTTTTTTCAAGTTTTAAACACCACTTAAGTTTTATTTATTTTATAATAATTAGCTTTTTTTCAAGTTTTAAGCATGACTTAAGTTTTGTTCATTAAATGATTTCAAGTCCAAACTTAAGTTTTTTTCAAGTTTTAAACACCACTTAAGTTTTATTTATAATTTCAAGTTTATCTTCAAGTTTTAAGCGTAAACTTAAGTTTTATTTATTTTATAATAATTAGCTTATCTTCAAGTTTTAAGCATGAACTTAAGTTTTTTAAACTTGTTTTATGTTTATTCTCAAATTTTAAAAGTTTTATTTAAAAGAAATTTAAGTTCAAGCTTAAAACCATAAAATAAAACAAAATAATTATCTGCTCACCAATTGTATGATGAAAATTGTTAGTTGAGGGGCGAAGTTCAATCCTATTTCTGTGCAAAGCATTAGCTTGACTAGGGTATCTGGCTAAAGGGAATTTATTATATTTTGATAATTTTTATTATTACAAACCTCCACTTTATTTAACTGATTTCTAGCAATATTCGATTGCATATTTGTACTTATAGCTTTTGCTCTTTTTCTTAAGCAATAAAAAAAGTAGGCTCCGAAAATTATTATCATAACTCCACCAAACAATTTAGTTGAGATGAATGCTGTTAAATTAATTAAAAATTATTTTTTAAAATTTTTTAGTATCATTTTGTATGTACTAATTAATTAATTTCTTTTGAATGTTTCAAAAAGCTCATATTAATGTTTTAAAGCTAAAACAAAGTTAAAAACAAAAAGTAAAACTGCTTAAAAACACAAAACAAAGCATAAACTTAAAAGGATAAAATTAATTTCAAGCTTAAAATATTGAAAAACAACCTAAATAAAGCTTGGACTTAAAAACACAAAACAAAGCAAAAACTTAAAAAGAAAAAAAACTCAAGTTCAAGCTTAAAACATTGAAAAAATCAATTTAAATAAAGCTTGAACTTAAAAACACAAAACAAAGCATAAACTTAAAAAGGATTAAAAACATAAGTTCAAGCTTAAAACTTTGAAAAAAACAATTTAAATAAAGCTTGGACTTAAAAACACAAAACAAAACATAAACTTAAAAACATAAAATTAAGTTTAAACTTAAAATATTGAAAAAAACATCATAAACAAAGCTTGGACTTAAAACTTACTTATGTTTCCATTTTTCATCAAACACGCAAAAACATTACAATCTAAACATTAAGTTTGTAAAACATTATAAAATGTTTTTTAAACCTGTCTCAGCAGGTAACGGCAAAATTTGAAGAAATGCATAAAAGTTTATAAAAAATATAGCCAATATTGTCAAAACACAAGCAAAAAGCAACCTAATTTTGTTTCGTTCTTCATAGCCATTTAAAAGTTGGACAGAGAAAATTCTGTCGAGAGTCAGAAAAAATATTGAGTATGGGATTACTGCCATCATACTAATTAGTAAATAATTTGGGAATATAACTTAAATTAATTTATCTAATTTACCATTCTGTAGTAATTGTTGTCCAAAATACATAATTTGAATCAATTAGGCGACCTATAAATTTATTGATAAAATAAATTTTTTGACCCTGATAAGCTTTGTTGGCCACTCTCCTAACACGATTAGAAACAAGAGTTTTTCATGAGTGTTGTTTATAACGGGAGAGAGGCTATTATATCATATCCCATATTTAGTTTTTTTTGGACTACTTTCGGTTTTTTGTTTAGTTTGTTTTCGGTTTTAAGTTCAAGCTTAATTTTTCATGTTTAAGGAATTTTTGTTTTTAAGCTTAAGCTTGGTTTTTCTAGAATTCCTGTTCTTAGGGTGTAGTCTTGATATTGACCCTGGGAAATTTCTCTGTTCGGAAAATACACGTTGTAAAAGTTTCTGAGTTCTTTTGATAATCTACTTAAAATTCACCCTCAGGACGCCAATGAAATAACATCCACGCAATATGTGGCAAAGCAGTTGCCATCAATATTGTCCAACATATAAGATTAGCAATTAACAAATTAGAAATGCCGTTATTTTCCTTAAATTTTACAAATATTTTTTAAAAAATTATTTTAAAATTAATATTTACTCTTAAAAT